TTTTTTTCCCCCCCCCCTTTACTACCATCACCTGGCCCAAACTACCATCATCTCTCATTTGGATTATTTCTGGAGCCTCCTAACTGCTCCCACTCTGCCTCCCTAAGTATATACTCACTTGTGTCTTCCCTTTTTTCCCCCCTCAATATTACTTTTGTAAGATTCTCCACATTGTTGCATGTAGCTATAGTTTAACTTTTATTACTATAGAGTGTTTATTCATTAATATACCACACATTAGTCCATTCAAAAGATATTTGGATTGTTTCTTATTTGGGGGTATTAAGAACACTGGTGCTATGAACATTCTTGAGTCTCAGTATACATGCCCATTAGTTCTGTGGGTATATACCTAGGGGTAGGATTGCTAGGTCATAGGACATGTCTATATTCAGCTGTACTAGATGATGCTAAACAGTTTTCAGAAGTGGTTGTGTGAATTGCTACTACTTGCAGAGTATGAAAATTTTCATTGCTCTACATCCTTGATATGGTCAGACTTTTTAAACTTTGCTAATCTGATATGTGTGTAATGGTTTCTCATTGTGGTTTTATTATTATTATTATTTATAAAAAACATGTCCTTTTAAGGGGACCTTAACCCTTGACTTGGTGTTGTCAGCACCACGCTCTCCTGAGTGAGCTAACTGGCCATCACTATATAGGGATCCGAACCTGTGGCCTTGGCATTATCAGCACCACACTCTCCCAAGTGAGCCACAGGCCAGCTCCTCACTGTGGTTTTAAAATACGTTTCTCTATTTATCAGCCATTTGGATATACTTGCGTGAAGTGTCTATTCAAGTCTTTTGCCTGTTTTTCTATTGGAATTTTTTTTCTCCTTGATTTGTAGAAGCTCTAAATATATTTTGGACATGAGTCCTTTATTAGTTATATGTTACAAATATTTTGTCCCATTCTGTCGCTTGTCTTTTCACTCCATGGTGTATTTTGATTTAATTTGGTTTAATTTTATTCGTTTAAATTTATCAATCTGTTACTTCATGGTTAGTATTTTACATACTGTGTAGAAATTTTTCCCTACCTTGTGGTCAGGAAAATATTCTTCTATATTACCTTCCTGAAATTTTATAGTCTTTGCCTTTCCTATTAGGTTTATAATCCATCTGGAATTTATTTTTATATATGGTGTGAATTTTTCTTATGGCTGAACATTCTAAATTTTACTACCACCATTTATTGAAAATACTACCTTTTCACCCCTCTGTTTTACAGCACCACCTCTGTTGTAAATCAAATATGTATTAAGACTCTATTTTATTCTTTTGGTCTATTTTTCTATCTCTGCACCCATACAACACTGTGTGTATCAATCAACTAAGTTAGGTTTTGTTGCAGTGACAAATAACTCAAATTATTGTGGACTAAAATAACAAAGATTTAGTTCTAACTCAAGCTGAACATTTCCTTCATTGAAGAAAATCCTGTTGGAGGAGCACTGATCTAAAGGATGTTCTCTGATCACAATGCAATTTCAGTAGAAATCAACAATAAAAAGATAACTAAAAAGTTCATCATATTTTTGGGGGAAAGGATTTATACTTCTAAATATACATGGTGAAAAGAAAAAAATCCTAAGGTAAATTACAAGATATTTTGAAATAAATGAAAATGAATACCTATGTATCTGTATTTGAGGTGTGCATCCCATATTATAGATGCTGATAGCCATATTCTCACATAAAGTGTTTTAGACGGTAGGTGATTAAGATTAGGAATGTTAGACTCTGAAGGTAAGCTGTTGAAAAGAGACCTTAGCAGTAATGGTAGAACAACTGATCTTAACAATATAAAACAAATTGAAACAATGATGAAAGACAAAGTAAGGAGAAGAAATCTAATATTTTCTATCTACTCAAACAGAAATAGAGCATAACAAAAATGCACTTCCACATCTTGTACTTTAAGAACAATAGGATTGACTGCTAATGGGTACAGCATTTCTTTTTGGGGAGATGAAATGTTCTAAAGTTAGATTGTGGTGATGATTGCACAACCCTGTGAATATACTAAAAAACATTGAATTGTATATTTTAAATGGGTGAATTGCACGGTATGTGAATTATATCTCGATAAAGCTTAAAAGAAATAGGATATTTTATCTTCAGTTTACTAAAGATTTTTAATAATATATGTTACTCAATAAGTAATAAAGATTTCAAAATGGAATGGATTTTTAATCCCATTAGAGTCTGACACATGGTCCTACTGTGCATGATTAGTTCACAGCTCATGCCACATTCAACTAACCAGGTGAGTTTAACAAAACTCAAACTGATCTATACTCTGTTCAGTGAGACAAGGCCACTAATCATAGTCTTGGATGTCAAATTGCCATAAAATTTTCTAAGCATTCTCAATTTCTTTTGTTATCTCACACAGACTATTAACATTAGCAGCACTGGCTACAGACCCCACTTTGAGGTGTACTGACTTAAAACATCACCGTCTATTCTAGTAATCAAAATACCAGAGAAATTCAGAATTGCCCTATCGGAAAAATTTTTGGGAAATCCTAGATGAAAATAAAGGCATATAAGGTCCATTCTAGCACTCTTTGCTTCTTATAATAATATGCATATGTTTATATTCTTTTTAAACATTTCTGGTTTTGAGCAGTTCTCCTTGTCACTTTACTCTTTTAGCAGTCAAAATCAGGTATATGCAATGACTGCAGTCTCCATATTCTGGCCATGTATCGATAAGAAGCAAAAGCGAAAACAACTACCCAAACTGCTTTTATCTTTTTCAGAGGAAATTATTTTCTCTCAAGAAAAATAGGCTTTGGCCCTATATCTCTGACCTGTCATCAGATTGTTTGAATAGCCTTACCCAAGAAAGAGAAATGGAAAGAGAATGAACTGGGATATTAAATAACTGTTTTCACATGGCTTGATTTTTCTGCTTTCAGGTATCAATCATGGAGATCTTAATGACCATAACATTTTAGTAGAGTCCAGCAAGGCAGCCTCTGGAGATGCTGTTTATCAAGTGTCTGGGATTTTAGACTTTGATGACATGAGCTATGGCTACTATGTGTTTGAAGTGGCAATCACCATCACGTACATGATGATTGAAAGTAAGAATCCTATACACGTAGGAGGTCACGTCCTTGCAGGGTTTGAAAGTGTAATTCCACTGACAGCTGTGGAGAGGGGTGCTTTGTTTCTACTAGTATGCAGTCGTTTTTGTCAGTCACTTGTCATGGCTGCATACTCTTGCCAGCTACACCCAGAGAACAAAGAATATCTCATGATTACTGCAAAAACCGGGTGGAAGCACTTACAGCAAATGTTTGACATGGGCCAGAAAGCTGTAGAAGAAATCTGGTTTGACACTGCCAAGTCCTATGAATCTGGGATCTCCATGTGACCAGATAAAAGTTCACATTAACTTGGATAATTAAAAACCCAACAGGACCTAATCAAATTTTATGAAGGATTTTCCTGTATAATTAAAAATGAATTGATAGATTAATTTGAATATGACAAAGCACATAAAACCTCTAAGGTCTTCAAGCAATCTCATGACCATTTTTTAAACTTAGGAAAGTACTACATGAAGAGCAAAAAAAAAAGGAAGTACTATGTGAGCAAGCATGTCTTGAATCAGATAATCTCTCACTCTATTCCAGCCCCAAGATCAATGGCTTTTTTAAACTTTGAAAGAAATATAGATGTGTAGATATTCATGACCATTTTTTAAACTTAGGAAAGTACTACATGAAGAGCAAAAAAAAAGGAAGTACTATGTGAGCAAGCATGTCTTGAATCAGATAATCTCTCACTGTATTCCAGCCCCAAGATCAATGGCTTTTTTAAACTTTGAAAGAAATATAGATGTGTAGATATATTCACATATTTTAAATAACTGGACATAATGTACAGACCTATTCTATGAAACTTTCTCTGATCCGTCCTTTCTCTAGAATCCCATTGCAGTGTTTTTCATGGCGTATCACTTTGTATAATGGATTATGGTTGTGCAGTCATCTAGCCTGAGAGCTGTTTGAGGGCAGAGACCGTGTAAAACTTGTTTTTGTCTCTTCGTCCATTCTTCTCACACCTGATATAGTGCCTTTCCCACAGAAAGATTTTTAAAATAATTTGCAAAATTAATGTATGCTGGAGGAGGCAGAGACTAAGATGCCTTAGGAGGAAACACAGATGCATTCT